TGAAAGCCAGATTAGAAAGTTAGGTGCTTTTAAAAGAAGCAATAACATAAAGAATAATTCATCTCTGGTTTCCTGTCAGTCTCTTGGTTTCCAGCAGACACAGTCGGTGACGTGGTGATAGAGTGCGCTCTGGAGAGACCCTTTTTATTCAGCTCCTGTGTGGACAGGAGATTCCGTTGGCTGGATACAGGGACGGGGACTGTGGTGTCCACTGTCCAGTTCAGCATCACAGGGGACAGATGTGTCTCCTCTCTGACTGCGGACAGAGGCCACAGCAGGAGTTACACCTGCCAGTATGTTGATGGGCACGACCAGGTACAGATACAGGCCGACTACACACCGGCCGCCAAAGATGAGAGGGTAAAGGATTCTGTCGTTCAGTCCACGCTGCTCTCCCTCCCAGGGAGTGACTTACAACACAGGCCAAGTATGAAGCAGACTAACTGAAGGATTCTGGAGATGTACACATCCAGACAGAGACAGACTGGAATCGTGGAATTAGCAGATTATTACTTTATTTTCATTTATGTGTTTTATTCTTAATACTGATATGAACGTATGATTCTGAAGCTAATTAAAAAAACGACACTTGAAGACTGAACCTTTGAAATAAGTGAAGTAAAATAGTTTGTTGTAAAATATGAAAAGCTTGTATATTTTTGCAGTTTTTTCTGTACACAGATATGTTATCTTTGGTTTTAATACAAATCTTCATTACTGACTTCTGATACATGTTTCTCAGATTCCCCAGGTCCTTCAGGCTCTTCAGATTCCCCAGGTCCTTCAGGCTCTTCAGGTCCTTCAGGCTCTTCAGATTCCCCAGGGTCCTCCGGCTGGCCTCCTCTGAGCTGCATCATGTTGACCGTGCGTGTTGTAGAACTGATCCTCTTGATCATAATCACTGCTGTTATCATCAGAGGTGAGGAAATGAACAGAACTACATCCTCATTTTAGGATTTATTCATTTCTCTCATTTCTTTTGTTTTTGTCTTTTTCTTCGTTGAAAGGACGTAAAAAGTCGCTGGAAGACGACCGTGAGTCAAACTAAGATTTCTGCCTCCTGGTTGTTTCTGGATCATTTGGTCAAAATCTGTGTCGTCAAGGTTTGACCCGAAGCAGATTCAGCTCCGTGTGACCTCGCTTCACCATCGCACCTGGAAATGTTCATGTGTTGTGCTGTAGAATTGTACTTACTTTACAAACATGAATAATTAAATTATTATCATCACATGACGTGCGTTGTTTTTTAAATAAAGTCGAGACCTTTTTCAAGAATTACTTTTGGTGCAGGAGACACAACAAAGATGTGGCGTGGTGAAGAAAATGAATAAATAAATACATGGGGAAAAAAGGAAAATAAAATAAACAAACAATAAATAAATCATGAAAGCACGATTGACGGTTACAGTAACGTAGCAACGTAACAGGTAATCTAGGCCGAGTTAACAGTTAACTTTATCGGGTTAATTTCTTATGTGAGTGTGCAGCAATAGAAACACCTTTGCATCCACTTATTTTGAAATCCAGACTTTGACTGAGTTACACAACTCTGTGTTTAATGTATAACATGAAATGTATAATTTGTTGTTATACTGTTGTTTTAAATGTCTTTCTTGTTTTCCTGAGTCTCTCATTCGACCTTTCACAGTTTGCGTTGTGTCAGGACTTATGTAAGAGCCGGGACTCTGACCTGTGATAAGAGTCAATGCATGACGGATTTACAAAATAGGACAGATCCTCGAAACACTTAAGACAACCAATCATTATATATCTTGTGTTTAACTGTGACTATAAATAATCACTGGAAAAGATTTATTTTCAGTTTTAAAGCTGAGGAACAGTGGCCACAAGTGGTGATTAATTAATTCTGTAAGACTGCGTCGTCCGACCCACGGAACAGAAACTGAGCGGTGAATATTCCTAGAAAAGCTGCATCTGTAACTAACACAGTTCTGTTTGGATTGTTTTTTTTATATTTTATATTTTTATATTCAGTTCAACATCACTCCAGTAGATAGAGTCATTGCACATCATTCTGTTCTGCACTTCCCACAGGAGAAATGATCTGAATCAACTGTAGCAGCCATGATGCAGAGAACCGGTGGATGAGGCCCTCGGGCTTCACATCATGTCAAGTTGTTTCTGTGGACAAAGGGTGTGGGATGTTTCCATGGAGCATAATCAAACAATTCAATGAACATGGTTGACACACCAGAGTCAACCTTAAAGCCTCCATTTCAAAGGCCTAAAATGATTCCTAATAAGACTGCTGACAGAGACTTGCTGTTACATCCCTGTAGAGATCTTCATAGTGGACAAACCTTCTCTAAAGTCTTTCTCCAGGAGCAGAAGGTCCAGATGTTGTCGTCATGAAATCTTTGAGAGAAGTTATCCACGAGTCATCACTGCAATCATGATCATTTGTTTTCCTGCGTCCAGCAGAACAACAGTCTCACCATCCGCTCGCCGCGAACCCGAAGTGCTGTGATGGTTTGAATCCCGTCTCACCTCCCGTTCTGTCGTGTCATAGCGAGGAGCATTTCTATTGCCACTCTCATGTTCCTCAACACTCCTGCACACAAGCAAATCACACTGGTCTGACTATGTTCCCTTTTCCAGGGTGATCCATGAGAGGGTGAATCCTGAAGTCTCCATAGCTCCACTGGTGAACTTCTATCTTCCTAAGAATGGAACTACTCACTAACTACCATCAGAGAATTTACAGTTTGTTTTGTTACAAGGGCAAATAATCAGATATAAAATCATCTCTCTGAGGTCCCTAATCTAGGGTTAACATTTAATTTCAAAATCCTCACATTAATGCTGCTGATCATATTTGTTCGCTATTTGATTGTATCTGATTTGTCTCATCCACGCCCTCACCCTCCTCCTCACATACAGGGAATGGCACAAATTTTATGGGCTGGAGGGGTGAGGCTCAAGCCCACACATGGAGTCAGATCCAGGTCGTCCTCTGAAACTCCAGGTGGACAAGAGAAACGGAAGTGTTGCAGGAAGGTGACGAAGAAGATGAAGAGCTCCATCCTGGCCAGACTCTCTCCGAGACAAACCCTGCGGCCTGTTGAGAGGGACGGCAAAGTAAAAAATCATCTGCATCTAAGAGAACGATGAAAGGAAAGTGCTTGTGCTCACGAACCTGCAGAAAAAGGCATGAAGGCGTCTCGCTTGACGAACTTTCCCTCTTTGTTCAGGAAGTGGGCGGGGTAGAAGGAGTGAGGTTTCTCCCACTCATCCTCATCGTACAGGACAGATGTCAACAGAGGATACACTGTGGTCCCCTGTGGACAACGTTATTCTTATCAAAGTAATTGAAATCTTTAAAGGAATCAATTTGTGATTTGCTAAATTAAAAGCAGGACACTTCTGTTAAAACTGTTTGATTCCATTCTCCATATTCAGTGTTTTAATGAGTCTGACCTTCTCAATGAAGTGACCCTGGAAGGTGACGTCTTGGCTGGTCTTGTGAGGCAGAGACAGGGGGGCGATGTTGGCCAGTCTCTGCGTCTCATGGATGACAGCATCAGTGAAGGGCAGGTTCTTCCTGTCTTCAACCTGCACCTGACGACTTCCTATCACCCTCCGCAGCTCCTCCTGGACCTGGTCTGATGGAAAGTGGGAAACTTATTCTCTTTGGGTTGATCTTGGTGTAACAAATCATCAATGTAATAGAGCTGTGCACATTTACAGCTCCTCACCCTGTATTTGTGGATACTTGGTCATAAGCAGCAGCGCCCATCTCAGTGTAGTTGCAGTTGTGTCAGTCCCGGCAGCAAACAGATTGAGAACTGTTAGCATGAGGTTTTTATCGTGGTAGTGACTGTTGCTGTTCTCAGATTTCTGCACAGAGAGAACGAAGGATATCTTGATATACAATGTGTGTGACATGCTCGGGCTGCAGACGTGGGTTGAATCAAATATCATAGACGGGTGTGAATTGGCATTGAGCTATGATAGGAAAGTGTCTGCCAACCTCCATATGTTCCTTTTGAACCAGAAAGGCGTCTACAAATCCTCTGCACATCTGTGGACTGAGAGTCTCTTTCAGACGTCTGAACAGCTTTAAGTTCTGTTCCTTATTGTCTTCAATCATTTTCTTTACAGCCTTCGGGTTACTGAAGAATTTACCAATCCATGGGAACAGGTTGTATAACTGTAAAAAACACACATTTATATATAAATATATATTTGAAATTAACAATTGAATGTCATTGGGATTCTGTTCTGTTAGATTATTATGTGTATTTAAATCAAAGCGCTTTAACTATACGATACAAACATATGATGTGATACCTGCACTGATGCAGAGGCCAGGAGTTGAAATTGTTTGTTTGATCGATAAACCAAAGACGTAAACTCTGGATCATCATATTCAAATCTGTTTCCATAGACCATGGAGCAGATGATATTAGAGACTGCACAGCTCAATGGTTGGGTCGTGTCAAAGGCTTCTCCTGCAACAAGAACAACAAGGTGAGATACGTTCATTTCTTTAAAGCATGAGATGTTGATTATATACGTGTTTGGAAACACTTACCTTTAAACTTGTTAAACACTTCAGTGAGGTACTGGCATTCCTCGATAATTTTTTCCTCACACGCTTTTTTACCCATCCCATAATCTCTTAGGTTTGTCAAGGTAAAGCGCCTCATTTCTTTCCACGCATCCCCATTGGACCATATAACCCCTAATGAAATAAACATAAAATACATTCGTAAGTGATCGATTATAGCTAAAGCCTGGAAACAGCCTGGGAGACACAACGTCTGCAGAACACCTGAAAGCACAGGCAGTAGATGGTGAGATTACGAAGACTGAATTAACAATGACAGAATAGCATCATCCTCACTACCATCTGACACCAGACACCTTGCCCATCACTGCAATAGCGAGGTCAATGTTTTAAAGAATTAACTATACCCCTCAATGGCTATGGTGGAAAAATGATGTCGTCCTCGAGATAAAACATTTGTTAAAGTCATTTGCGAAAGAATTAAAAAATACATTTTCTTACCATGTCCGCCACTAGTTTCTTGCATAATTAACATCGGGTCTCTGTCTCCAAACTCTTCAGCACAGTTAACAAGCGCTTCCTTCACCGTCTTGTATCCGGCTAGAACCACCACTTTCTTGCGTCCCAAATAAATGGTGAACACTGATCCATATTTCTTAGACAACTAAAAACAGCAGCATAAATTGTAAGTAGGCTATTTACACATTTGAAAGAACGTACACACAATCCTAAGAGAAGTTTAAAACTACTCTGTTAATCTCTTTACCATCAGTAATGAGTGGTAGGTTCTCTTGAGGTCCAGCTGCAGCAGGTTTCCAAGCAGGGGAAGTGGTCTGGGTCCTGGAGGTTCTTTCCTGTGTTCCTGGGAGCTGAAGCTGGAGGAGGACACAAGGTAGACCAGCAGCACAACCAGTAGAGCCCCCAACAGGGAGACAGAACTGGAAGTCTGGAGGAATAGATCTAATATCCCCATGACTTAAACACTGCTAGAGCTCTGAAACAAAACGGGTTTCTGTCCAGTTTTCTGTGGATTTATCAGGAGAATGGGCACAGCCCCAGAGGAGGAGGGACGAACTGTGGACAAAGGACGGGAGGGAAAAACTGTACCAAAGTTTTTCTCAGGTCAAATCTGTCTCAAATTGGACTTTAAAGCAGTTAGTTGTTAAATACACAAAACAAATACATTGTACAAAGCCCTTTGCTCCAGTGATAAATCATCGGCTTGATAAATGATTAAATAGGAGCATGATCAGGTCTCTGGGCTCGCACAGTTACTCACATGAAATCTTTATATCTTTATGTGGCATTTATATCAGGCGAGGCAAAGGTATTTGTATTGTGCGTTATCATACACAGAGGTCAGTCAATGTGCTCTACAGAAATGAGAGGAGTGTCAAAAACACACGACGAAGCGTGGAAATATCATATTATGTGAGCAGGTGAGTATTACAAGCTTGTTTTTAAATGTTGAACATCCTGTTATTGCACTGAGAAAAAACCCTTCAAGATGGGTGTTTTTGTAACTGAATATATATAATATATAATATATCCATGCATTTAAAAACATTTATAATGTGCTCTGAAACGAAACACCAATGATAAAATATTAAGGTAATTTCAATCTTATTATGCAACTGTGGAATTAAAAGTAAAAAACACAATAACTGATTATGTTACAGAAGCATTTCAGGTGTCAAGTGTGCGTAGATTCTGTTCTTACATAAGAAAACAAATCCCAGATAAGAAAACATTGGTCAGAATCTTCGTTAAAATTGCGCAAGTGGTGTTTAAGTAATGTATTCTTGATGAACGTGATGAACACGTGGAAGTGTTGTAGGTCAGACAAACATCACCTTATTGTGAAGGTCGTGGTGACATGAGACGATTCAACATTGTCACGTTTTAAATTTTGAACCAAAACCTTGTTGTTTTCATTGACGTCTTTTGCTTTGATCATCCAATTAATCAGGATGTTCTTTGATCCGAACCCAACTCTTCTGGTCGAACTTAATTTCGGTACGTTGTGAGGACCGTGATCCGAGGAACCTCCCACACCTGATATTTTGTTCCAGACTAAACTGAAAAGTCCAAAACTTCGAGCCAAACAGGGGAGAGAGGAAAGCTCCCAGAGTGACATTTAAAGCAACATTGTGCAAGTTTTCTACTGTAAACTACAGCTTGATTAAAAGAGTTTGATGTTTGAGTGTGAACTTGGAGAAAGTTTCCTCCTTCACTCTCTGAGCGTCTGTTCTCTGTAACTCTGGTGAGAGGGTTCGATCTCCTGAGAGTCACAGCTTGAACTGTCACAATCGGCTCCAGACAGTTGAAGAGTGAAGCTGAACTGTGATCAGTTCAAAACACTGACAAGTTATTAACAACCAGAGTTTATCTCCAATGTTCAGCAGGAAACTTTAAAATATGAAGAATTGCAGAGGATCTTGGGTAATATCCAGCGTACAAAGTGTCATCGAAACACAGTGAAGAGAGCCGGGGTGTGACGCTGGAAACCTGGAGGCTCCATGAAACTGTCAGATGTTTTGTTTGAAATGCAAATATGGAGTTACAGTTTCAAAGTCAAATATTGACCTAGACCTATTCAATATTCCTGTGAACGTGATATCTCAAGAATGTCATGACGGAACTTCCTTAAATTTGGTACAAATATCCACTTGGACTCAAGGATGACCGGAATAGAATTTGGTGGTCAAAGGACCTACGACGAGGATCACAGAGGACATTAAGGCTAAAAACTTGGTGTGAATGACGTCATTTGGCCTCGCACTTGATGTTTTTCAGGGTTTTTTTACATTTGAAGACGGGGCCCCATTTACTTCAGTTGTATTGGATTCTTTACCCCTGAAACTACAGAAGAGCTTTGTGGACTCAAACACTTCACCCCCCTCGTCAAAGTGGTTAGCAGCTGATGAGTGAATTTTCCTTTTTGGGTGAACTATCCCTTTAACCTTCAACAAGAGAACAGTCCTCTCCCAGGACAGGCATAGATGTCCCTTGTAGTGCTTTCGTAATTATGGGTCTGAAAAAAAATTCTTTGATTTAAATAACTGTATTGACACAGAGGAAAGATGTGCACACACCCATAGGTGCACAGTTAAAGTATAAATACCTCACATCCTCCAGCGGTGGAGGTTTAGTGGCCTCCTTCACTTCACTGATGGCTAGTTAAAAGCTACATGTTTCATGTTAACACTGTGGATCTAATTTGTTAAACTGTCATGGAGACATCATATTTTTTCCTCCAGTTCCTCAGTTCAACCTCTTTGCTGTTGACTGTGATCTTCCTGTTGCTCATCTCCTATGTTTCGTCTTCCAGCTTCAGCACCAGGGGAGACAGCAAGGGACCCCCTGGACCCAGAGGGCTTCCCCTGCTTGGGAACATGCTGCAGATGGACTTCCGACAACCTTATAAAACACTGATTGAGGTAAAAGCATTTTGTTGTGTCCGGCCAGCTGACTACTTTCATCATAGCTTTGCCACCTTGCTTGCTTTCCTCTGTGTGCTTGAAATTTAGCTGTAATGACAGTGTTTCCCTTTGGTTAGTTTTCCAAGCAATATGGATCAGTGTATAGCATCCGTTTGGCACACCAGAAAGTGGTGGTCCTGTCGGGATACAAGACGGTGAAGAACGCGTTGGTTAAATACGCAGAAGAGTTTGGAGACAGACATCAAGCTCTACTTATGCATGAATCTAATCAAGGACATGGTAAGTGGGGAAAACAGGTCAAACAAGTTATTTAATAAAAAACAGTTTTACACTAATGATTTTGGGTCTGAAGATGTTTTGACCCTCAGGGCCACCGTACTTCAACTCTCAGCTGCACATTAAATCTAATTTGTCAAACAAATTCAACTCAGGTATCATCTGGTCCAATGGCGACACATGGAGAGACATGCGTCGCTTTGCTCTGAAGAACCTGAGAGACTTTGGGATGGGCAAAACGATCTTTGAGGACAAAATCATTGAGGAATGTGACCACCTCATAAAAGAGTTTAAGAAATCTGAAGGTACATATTTCATTATTATAATCAACTATGTGAAACTGTGGAAAATTTGTTTTTAACTTTTTGGTGTTTCCCCGTTACAGGAAAACCTTATCATGTAAACGATCCATTAATCTTCACAACTTCCAATGTAATCAGCTCCTTGGTGTATGGCAAAAGATTTGAATATGATGATACAAAGTTTGTGTCTCTGATACATTGCACATCCAGACGCACAGAAATCATGTTGTCACGTTCAGCACAGGTACAAACACTTCAATGATCACAGTCAGAATGTAGAAATCAGAAGTTAGGATAAAAAGTGATGCATATTCTTTTTCTGACAGATCTTCAACGTGTTACCATGGATTGGTAGATTTATTCCTAACAGGAAAGAATTCCGTGAGATAGGGGATGTCAGTGTGAAACATAACATAGAGATGTTCAGACGTCTGAAAGAGACCCTCAATCCAGAGATGTGCAGAGGCTTTGTGGATGCCTTTCTGGTCCAAAAGGAAAAACACGAGGTTGGAAAACTTGTCTGTCAAAGCTGATATTTTTGTTCTTTGAGTCGAGCGATTGGGGACAGGCAGGTTTTGGTTCGAAGGAATTTTACAACCCTGTATTAGATTTAACTTTTCCTGTCTTTGCTCATTTTTAGAATGAAGTCGAGCACAACACAACTACTATCATTAATCTCTATTTTACTTAATTTGACCTGACGATGCCGTGCTCGTTATTAAATGATTGAGTTTAATATATTATAAATAGGGATTCGAATTCAGAGAGGACATGGCTTTTTCTATGGTTGCATTTTTTTTTGTTTATCCTGTCATTGAGCAGTTGTGTTCTGCTTTAACAAAAATAATCTTCACTCTTAGACAAAACCCATTTACACGTTGAGTTTACATCCATGCTACTACACTTTGTATTTCATTTTGTTCACCTGGTGTCCACAGTACTCCAGAGTTTTAGAGAAGGTAAAACATCTCTTGCTGATTGGGTCATTCCGGTCACAACGTAGCGTTCAGTAACTCGTCAGGCTCTTAGCACATGATCCCCTTCCTGACGAACGCAACCAGCAACAGCCTCAGTTTCCATTGTAAAACATGAGATAGAGAACTGACCCTGTTGTCTTTGCTAACAGCTGTTGTTCAGATCAGTTCTGTATTTATGATGATACAACTGTACGCCAAGTGTACGTGAGTGGTCACGTGATATGCGTTGTGAGGCGTGTTAGTGTGGACAGGGATGGTTTAAATTTTCAAAGAAAAATGTAATAGTATGGATGTAGCCTCAGTTTGTACCCCACCCGTCCACCAAGCATCAACACAATCTGTTCTTTCGTGTTTGATGGCCAAACTGTTTTCTCATTTACCTGTGAGATTGACATGTTGGTGTTTGACACAACGTGAAAGAAAAACAGATGAGTTTAAACAACTGCACTGATGCTTCATTACCTGCAGGAATCTGGAATTACCAACAGTAACTTTACCGATGAGAACCTCATGAAATCAGTCATTAATATGTTTGCTGCCGGTAGCGAGTCAACCTCAGCAACATTAGCATGGGGACTGATGCTGATGGCCAAATATCCAGAAATACAACGTAAGGAACTTAAACACAGTCTCATACAGCAACAAATATTATAGCGACAAAATCTGCCACATGGAAATCACCTAAAACCGAAACACATTCTGTTCGTCCCCCCAGACCAGGTGAGGGAGGAGCTGAGCAGGGTGGTCGGGAATCGTCAGGTGCGGATCAATGACAGGATGAACTTGCCCTTAACCAACGCCGTCATCCATGAGATTCAGAGAGTGGCCAGCATTGCACCAATGGGGCTTCCTCACCAAGTCAACAAGGACTTCACCTTCCAGGGTCACTTCATTGAAAAGGTTTGTCTTCGTGCCCCACCCCCCAAATGTTTAAATCAAACCCTCACCCTTGTCTGACAGAGGCTAGTGGAACACAGATGAACATTCTTTGGAACAGTTTACATAAAATCTTGATTAACGACACATTGGTGCCCCAGGAAAAGGCGTTAATCAGGAAAATGTTAAGATTTCTGTGTTGTCCACAGGGGACCGTAGTGCATGCCCTCCTGAGAACTGTCCTGCATGATGAGAACGAGTGGGAGAAACCTGAGTCCTTTCATCCCGCCCACTTCCTGGACAAAGATGGACAGTTTGTGATGCGAGACGCCTTCCTGCCCTTTTCTGCAGGTTGGTGGGAACAAGCATTGCTTCCTTTATAAAGTTCAGACTTTAGCTGACGTGTTTTCTTTGTTGTCTCTTTCAGGTCGCAGGGCTTGTATAGGTGAGACTCTGGTCAAGATGGAGCTCTTCATCATCCTCAGCAGCCTCCTGCAGAAGTTTCACTTCTCTCCTCCACCTGAAGCTCGAATGGAAAATCCATATAATTTGCAATTGATGTGTGAACCTTTGTTTTAGCTGTGAGCTGTCCCCTGTGTGTGAGGAGGAGGAGTGTTGAAGATTGACCAAACACCACTATATAATATTCCTTAATAACTGTATTTATATAGCATGTATCTAAACAAAGTAAGTAAGGAAGTGGAAAGTAGTAACATTGCAATACATTACTTACTTATTACTTACTGATGTCTTTCAACTCTTCTTGCTGTAATACTGCAAATTTCCCCATTGTGGGACTAATAAATGATTATCTTATTTTATCTTATCTTATAACCTCCTTGTCGAAGGTAACTCGATACTCACAGAGGAGTGAGTTTCTCTGGTCGTCCTGATGAGCAGAGCATATTAACCAACCCTTAACATTGACTAAATAAACATCAGCTGTTTGAAGAAGACTTGAAACTAGAGACTGAGACAAAAACTCCTGAGGGCAATGTTTACTGACGTTATACAGTGAGAAGTAGTGTCAAACGACCAGTGGAGTCGCCCCCTGCTGGTCAGAGAGGGAATACAGATTTTAGGCACTTGTCCTTTGGTTTCAATGACCCTGAGTCTATGTCCTTTTTTTATACAGTCTTTGTATACAACTCATCAAAAGCATTGTATATGTCCTTTAAGTTTCTAGCTACTCAGACCTCACGTCTTTAACAGCCAATGAATTTTCATTTTGAAATGAGAACCGTTGTATCATTGTCAGGAAACGTTCGCAAATGCCTCTTTACAAAGTTCTACTTGAACACCATGAACTCCGCAGGTCAGGGTACAGGTTCACATATTAAACAAAAATCAAACCATGACATCATCATGACTTATCAGTTCCATTTTATTTTACAAGAACCAGATAAAAAATACTATTGTGAAGGTATTGAAAGTAGCTGAGTGAGAAAGTACGTAGTAAAGTCTTGTGCAGATAAAAAGTCTCTTCTCCTGAATATAAGTTAATCAAGCAGCATTGTGGAGCCAGGATTTACATACAGGCAACAGCACACAGCTCATGGGTGGAAGGGTTTAGGGTTAATCCAACTCGAGGCATCAGATCCAGGTCGTCCTCTGAAACTCCAGGGGCTGGAGTGAAACGGAAGTGTTGCAGGAGAGTGGCAAAGAAGATGAAGAGCTCCATCCTGGCCAGACTCTCTCCGAGACAAACCCTGCGGCCTGTTGAGAGGGACGGCAAAGTAAAATATCATCTGCATGTAAGAGAACGATGAAAGGAAAGTGCTTGTGCTCACGAACCTGCAGAAAAAGGCATGAAGGCGTCTCGCTTGACAAACTTTCCCTCTTTGTTCAGGAAGTGGGCGGGGTAGAAGGAGTGAGGTTTCTCCCACTCATCCTCATCGTACAGGACAGACGTCAACAGAGGATACACTGTGGTCCCCTGTGGACAATAACAATTACTGCATGCTCAGTTTTGTGGGATCAACAAACCAGAAATTAGAGAGCCAATTAACATGTACATAAAAAAAATGTATTCTAAAGAAATGAAAACTTTGTATAACAGTACTTAAAGGCATTTCGATATAATTCTGTAAAACTCTCTCATTATTATTTTTTACCATTGAAGTATAATATTGTGGAGGTTTTTTTTTTTTTACCCCCAATCCTTAATTTGTTGGTTGGTTTGTTTTCTTGTTTATTTTAACCAAGATTCCACAAAACAACTTATCTGAGTTCCGGGACGCTTGATGGAAGGATGAGGTTCAGGTCAGGAAAGAACCCAATGTATTTTGATCTGGATCAGGGGTAAAGATCCAAGACACTTTGTTCACTGTTTTCCCAGTTCATGGATCTTTATGAAAACCATCAGTCATGTTTAGGGATATTAGGGGACTGGTGGGCCTGGGTGGAGGTATCCGCTCACTGACTGCCCTTCTAGTTGGTTTGTATCTGTCTTCCAAGTCAGGTGGGATGACCCACACTAGTTGTTTTAATGAGTCTGACCTTCTCAATGAAGTGACCCTGGAAGGTGACGTCTCGGCTGGTCTTGTGAGGCAGAGCCATCGGGACAATGTTGGCCAGTCTCTGCGTCTCATGGATGACGGCATCAGTGAAGGGCAGGTTCTTCCTGTCTTCAACCTGCACCTGACGACTTCCTATCTCCCTGCTCAGCTCCTCCTGGACCTGGTCTGATGGAAGGGTATTTTTGTTTTCTTTTTGTTTTTAAGATATTCTTGAGTTGGTGGAGCTGCTGGTGTCCTCAGCTCCTTACCTTGTATTTTTGGATACTTGGCCATCAGCATAAGTCCCCATCTCAGTGTTGTCGCCGTTGTGTCTGTCCCAGCAGCAAAGAGATTATTGACTGTGGTCAGAAGGTTTTTATCATGAAAGTGATTTTTGGAAATCCCAGATTCCTGAATGGAGATAGGACCAGAGCAGTTATTCAAACGTTTTTTTTTTTACCCTCAGTGACTAACTCAGGGTTGCATTTCAAACTCTTCACTTCTACTTTTGGCTTGAAACAAGTGTAGACCGAGAGAGCAGATGGATTTGGGGCCCAGAAGCAATTAACCCTATCCTATCTGAGTCAGTGTCATCTTTTCCAAGTTCCTTCTTAAAATGTAGGTCTTCTGGAAAGCAGTTCTTGATTTCATCATTATCCTTTATGCCAGCAAACGTGGACAAACTATCGCAACAACTTATTGATGGGTTTCCACAAGACGTAGTGGGAATATCACTTGGGAGTTCATTTCTAGACAATTAACTTTTGGATCCGATCGGCTAGACAAAATTTTTTTTTCAAGATATCTCTACAAATAATTTTCAATCTAAAGCTTATATTGATCGGACAACATGATAAATGACATCATGAAGAAATCACAATGATGCCATGTGTAGTTCTCTGTTCCCTTTAGGACTATAGACAAAAACTAAAGCTTATATGGATGGAAAAACCCTTCATGATCCTGCTGCTAGTCCATAGTGACCTCATTAGATATAAAAAGCCACTTTAGTTGTGTAGGTTCCTGTATCAACTAAAAACAGGCTCTAGAGACGAGCCCACTGTGGTTTCTACTACACATTTGGAAGGGAAGGTTAAACGTGGGGGTATTCAATTGGTTGCAATACACAACTTCCCCACTAGATGTCACAAAATCCTACACATTGAACCTTTATCCACATTTCTCTCAGACCACATTCAGTTTAGAGAGAAGGCTCAAGTTAATGTGTAGAGCTGCTATTGGATGACGTATTAGAGTTTTTAGTGGAAAGGGAGGGGGGGGAGTCAGGGCCTTTGATATGGATGATCTGCATGGTCAAAATGTCACACGTGGACGTCCTCACAGGGGTCTTACGTGTCTAATATGTTTGATTTGGCCTCTCTAGCTGTTTTCACACCTGCCCAGGTTCAGATGGAATAAACTGACTCATTTACAAAAAGGTTTATTAATTGTCCCGTTAAATTTTAAACCGGATAAATGGAATAATAATCTTAATTTGACATTAAACAATAGCTATGAATAAAGTAGCTACTTTAAAAAAATAATATTGTGAAATCAAGCATTTGCAAACCTCCAGGTTTTGCTTTCGGACCAGAAAGGCATCCACGAACCCTCTGCACATCTGTGGATCGAGGGTCTTTTTCAGATGTGTGAACAGCTGTAAGTTCTGTTTCCTATTAGCTTCATACAATTTGTTGAATTCCTTCGTTTTGGCGAGCAATTTACCAAACCACGGGAACAGGTTGTAGATCTGTCAAAAGAAGAATAACAAAAAGAATCACATTTTTTAAATATTTTTTTTCTTTCCCAGTTGCAAAAGTTTTTGAATCAAATATATTAAAGTGGCTGTGCTAAATTATACTTGTATTGATGGAGAGCCCGCGAGTTGAATATTTCTGTTTGTTCGATCGACCAGAGATATAAACTCTGGGTCATCGTATTCGAACCTGCTGCCATAGACCATGGAGCAGATAATATTAGAGACTGCACAGTTCATCGGTTGGGTCGTATCAAAAGCTTCTCCTGCAAGAAAAAAAAGGACGTTTTTTGTAGGATCTTTGTGTAAAGGCTGCTCAAAATGCAGCTGTTTGAATGACATATATTTACCATTAAAGTTCTTAAACACCTCAACGAGGTGGTCACATTCCTCAATGATTTTGTTCTCACATGTCTTCTTGCCCATTCCGAAGTCTCTCAGGTTCGTCAGAGCAAAGCGACGCATTTCTTTCCACGAATCCCCATTGGACCATAAAACCCCTGGAATAGAGTAGTTATTACTTATTACTGCTGGTAAACCACAACAATGTGGGAAAAAAATGTTTTTCCTTTACTCACCATGTCCTTCATTGTTTTCATCCACGATTAGCATCGGGTCTCTGTCTCCAAACTCCTCGGCATAGTTTACAAGCGCCTCCTTCACCGTCTTGTATCCGGCCAGAACCACCACTTTCTTGGATCCAAAATAGACGGTGAACACTGATCCATACTTCTTGGAAAGCTAAGAGCAGAGGAGTGATGTCATGATTCACACATGACTCAGAATCAGAGAGGAAAGTGGAAGAAAGCTTCCTCACCTCCAGTAAAGAGTAGAAGGGTCTCTTGAGGTCCAGCTGCAGCAGGTTCCCCAGCAGAGGAAGTGGTTTAGGTCCTGGAGGATCCTTGTCCTCCTGGGAGCCGAAGTTGGAAACTAGGTAAATGAGGACCAGGACCACCAGAGCCCCCAACAGGGAGACAGAGCTGGAGGACTGAAGAAAAACACCGAACATCTCCATTGTCTAACACAGTGAGTTTCCTCCTGTGCTGTGTTTGGTGCAAGTGAGTGTTGTGAGAAGGAGGGAAAGCTTTTGTAGCTGTAGCCACGCCCACTGAGACGGAGTGTGAGCCATTATCCATTATCAACAGTTTAGTGTGGATTTATCTTCAGTGATTGTGTCTGTACAGAGGGTAAATCGACAGTAATGTTTCACCCAGACTGGAAATATTATGCACCAGTTATTTTGACCTTTGGCTGGTTTTAAAAAAAAAAGTCTCATCGGCACCTTCGGAGAATTGTGGGACTGGACAATGTTGGTTTGAGGGAAAAGTCAAAACGTCTCTTTTGAAAGTTCTGCTCGTTCAGACGCTCTGAACTGAAGTGTTCATACAGACCATGAATTATTCTTAATGTCTTCTTCTTCTTCTTGCCTTTGGACATGGAGCACCTTGCATTTCATTTCCTGACACACGTTTGCATACTTATTGTTTTTTACATCTTGGGAACGATGTACAACAGTGGCCGAGCTTCTCAGTTTCCCCAACGTGACTCACTGGGGCACAAAAAAAAAAAATCCTCTGCTGGCAACAGGAAAGGAGTCAAACTTTTAGAAGACGTTCACAATTACGGAAAAACGCAGAGCACCGACAGACGGCTCGGTCAGTTTCCATATATGTACCTAGCATTGAGCATGAGTGAGCTTTAATTCTGAACTGTATCATCAGGGGGAGGATCCAAAAAACCTTTAATTCACTTTCTTTAGCGTTGTGAGACATTTTTTTCTCAGAGAATAATTCATGGATCTTGATGAAAACATAAATTTAAGGAACTGATATTTAGTGTGTAAAAATCAGGGTCTAGTGAAATTAAATGTGGTTTTACAAAATGTCTGTTGGGTCTTTTTATTTCATGATCATTTTTCATTTGAATTAGAACCTGAACTCTCACTGAGTCTTACAGCAGCAGGTCCCATCCTGTCGGTTTCATTATGAAACAAACTAAACTGTGACACAGATTTCTGTCCCAGAATCCACAAATGAAAAGATTTGCTCACACACACACAAATCTCCAATTTACCCTTCGCCCACTTATTTTACAAGCTGGCCAATGATAAACTGAATCAGTTTGATGTTTAACATGGTGACTGTAGGGCAAAGATCGTCCTGCGTGAACTTAGGAACACTCCTCTGTTCTGACTTTGTTCTGTGTCAGTAGACATCCAGCAGCGAACCAGAAAAGGTTTGATGCATTTACGACAATTACAGTAAAGACCATAAACCATCAGAAACGTTCTCCTCCGTGGATCAGTGGTCGACTGCAGTTTGACTTGATGTGATGTTATGAACTGGAATTTATTTAATGTCTCTCTCAAACTTCTCCATGTGTTGATGGATGTGTTTGAAATGTGAAAAAGACACAACAAGTAGCAGGAGTTTCCTCTGAGCTGCACCGAGGACTGATAATCCACGAGTGTGTGTAATCTGGTTCAGTGTTGGTGGAGATAAGAGCTCTGCTGTGCGACATTCTTGCTTTATTTGTTCCTTTATTTATAGTTTATCGGTTTTTATCTGTTAAATAGAACAGAATATTTTTTTTATATTGAGTGACTTTTTTTTTACTAACTTTTAAAGTTCTGCAGATAAACTTGTAGAAACCTAAAAGCATGAAAGTGACTATAAAAAGGAACATCTTGTGTTGTCATGTCATTTATCTCCTCACTAAACCACAGCTTCCTCATCTGATGAACATTTGGAACAAACCGTTTTTTTCTCCTCCATTTATTTTCCGTCTGCTCTCTCACCTCCTCCGGGTCGTCGTCAGGCTGCTGTGACATTTCACCTCTCGTCTGCGGGCGGCTGCTTCTTCGCCTGCTGGATTATCAATCTGGGAAAACTGCTAAATTAAGAAAGAGATGAAAAAAAAAAAGATGTAAAAGAGATGAATAGCTGATGAGCTCCACCTACAGAACAAGCTGATGGCCAAAATGAGGAAGTCTTCCCTGCTGATGACAGGAAAGACATCTGTCATTTCTCTGAAGCAGATCGGAGACTCTGACAGTAAATCAGAGATAAAAAAAACTCATGATGACAGAAATAAGGTGGATTAAAGTGTTTTTATTCCTGATGCTGACGCCTCCGTTTTCAGGTAATCCTTCATTATTATACTCTCAGAAATATAATGGTTCTTTAATGTTTCCTCACAGAGTCATCACCAACTGAAGAACTTTGTCACATAGGAGATGGTTCTTTGCAAACTTCATATGGTTCCTTAAAGTGCAAGAGGTTCCTCATTTGGTTGGATGTATATTGTGGTGAAAAATAGCAGAGAATTTGTTTTCATCATTGATAAATCTGTAGATTATTTTCCTGATAACTGATCTGTGAAGCATCAGAAAACAAAGGAAGAGCTTTGTTTTGCTGTCTTGCTTTTAAACGATGATCGCGTTGATTCATTTCTGTCAGTTAACTGGACGAGGGGGTGTCAAATACAACGCCTCATCTCTCAGTGGTTTAGACTTTCTCTGGAGTTTGTCTTTCACACCTGAACAAAGCAGTGAGCCTTCACACGAGGGGCGGAGCAGCAAGCAACGATGAAACCAACAGCGACTCGCATCACAAAGAACTCGACGTCTTCATCTTCTTCTTGATTTTTGGAACGTCACGAACACACCCACTCGCTCGCAATGAAACTCCGCAGATAGTCCCGGGGAATCTCACTTGGACATTTGCGTTCTCACACAGCGTTTGACAAATGAACATCCCAAAATTATTTTCAATAATGTTCTTTTTCTCCCTCACTAATTATCACACCCTACACAACATTTACTAACCTCTCGTGGAAAAGGAGGACGGAACATTTCCAGAGCTCCGCAGACCCTCACACATATTTACTGTATATTTCAGCCTGTATTCTTAATGTTTGTCCGTCTTTTCTCCTCATCAGTCACAGGTCAGTACCTGTCCTCCATCATCGTCAGAGAAGGAGATGACGTCACGTTGCCTTGCAAAAATGTGATTCCTGGTCAGAACAAATGTGACTGGTTCTCTGATCTGAATGGCTCAGGGAACGTAGTGGATCTGGTCAAACGTGGGAGCATCAGTGAAGCTATCAAAGATAAAAACAGAATGAGTGTTGACGAGAACTGTTCTCTGGTCATAAAGAACGTCACGGCTGCAGACGACAGGCGCTACGACTGTCGACAGCTCAAATCAGGACGAGACCACCTGGTTCATCTGTCTGTTGTTCAAGGTGAGATTTCTGAAGCGCTACAATAATTCTGATCTCACTGGTGGTGTCGTTCCTCAAGAGAAAAGCTGCTGAAGGTTTTCAGAGACAAAATAATGAGCAAGGACAACAACAAAAACTCAACAGGAGACAGTCGCAATTATAGACTGTGCCTGAAACATGTATTCTCTCAAGTGACCAGCAGGGGGCGACTCCACTGGTTGCTAAAAACGTGTTTCTATAGAAGTCTATGAGAAAATGACATCAGGAGTTTATGTCTCAGTTGTGTCAAGTCTTCATTTTTCAGTTTTTAATATCAAAACAAAAGTCAGATCTGTTTTTCTGTGTCTCAGCTTGTTTCCTGATTTTGATTTGAAAATCTTAAAAAGTTCAAAGACTTTACTCCTTCAATCCAGAAGAGTATTCAAAATATTTTTACAAAAACTCCAACACAGATACTCGGAGGTATTAGAAAGAACGATTAGATAAAGACTTAAAGGAAACGTTTTTTCACTTTCCTCTGGTTTATACATAGACTGGATACAAAAATTGAAAGTGACACAAATCCAGAGTTTTCCCTCAAATGAACAGCAGGGGGCGACTCCAGGAATCACTTTTCATTGAAGTCCATATGTAAACGATTCTGATAATCTCTTGATTTTTAGCGAGTAAATATTTAAGGTCTTAACCTGTAGTTTCAGTCTTCTTCAGTGCATCCTGTCGGCTTTTTCTCCTTCCTCTCCACCAGTGACTGAATCTATCGTCAATGATGAGCTGGTGTTTTCCTGCTCCGTGTCGACATATGGGTACGGCCACAGGGTGAAGTGTCTGTACAAGGATCCCAACGTTGTTGTCGACAGGAGGACATCACAATGCTCACTGATAGTTTCCCCTTATCTCAAGCGGAGACCAAACTATCGGGAGTTATTTACATGTGAAGTGACCGACGGTTATTTCAAGATCGTGGAGCGGTTTACCCTCAGCTCTCAGCCCTCAGGTGAGAAACCACGCGAGTGTTCAAGACTAATTTTCCGTTTGTGATTCCTGATGTTTTCTCAATAATTGGTTCCTTCATGTTTTCCAGGTGATGAAGTGACGACAGCAACGGTAACAAGAACAACTGAGACGGACACGACAGCATCCGATCAGACGCCGCAACGTAGAGACTCAACATTTTATCCATTCTCTCTTTCAGAAGGTTTTTGTCTTTCAGTCGATCTTATTCTGATTAATCTTTCTAGGCTGGTGGTTGTACGTTGCTGTGGCTGCAGGTTTGGCAGCGTTTTTAATAACTACTGTGGCAGTCATCAGACTGAAGAGAAATAAAGGCAAGAAACTTCCCACAAGAAACTTTTAACTCTGCAACACATTTGTTTTCTTTTTAAATAAATGTATTTTTCGCTGATGAAGCTGAAATTAACCTTTTCTTTCTTTGTTTCAGGGAACAAAACACAAATGGAGGAAAATTCTGTGAGTTTTAAAGCTGAATTTTAAAATGTTTAATTAGTCACGACCAGGTAGTTCCTCATACAACACTTTTCTCAACAAAGAGGAGGAAACAACAATAAAACAACAATCAGACGTAAAATAAAGGAAAAGAATTGAATTATTTAAAAATGTTTATAAATATGTATTTCTGATCCCAGTTGGTAAATTATTTCCATCAGGATAATATGGAGGAAATAAATCCTTGATATACACAGAGGCTTGGTTCTGTAAAGCTTTAGGAGTCATCAATTAAATCTAAAAAGTACAAAAAAGTTCATTCAGTTGATGCAAGAAAATATATTGTAAGTGAGCATTTCAGAATTTTAGGAAATATGTATCTTCACTCTGCTGGAAACCAAATTAACTAGACTGTGTTTGTTCAGGGACAAAGACTAAACCCTGCGGAGACTCAGTCTGGTCCAGAAACCAGTTGGGACAAGGTGAGATCACACACTTCAGAACCGGAAGTCCAACTGGAGGCTTCACGACTACAGCTCACAAACCACGTGGGTGACGTCACGCTGGGTTTGGTCAGTTTATTGTGAATCCACATGTTCCTGAGGAGTCAGCATGTTGTCTTCACTCTGTAGGCTGATCCTGGAGATGATGTTTGCTACACCTCCGTCATCTACATCAAGAAGAGCAACAGGGAAGACAGGGTGAGGGACTGATGAACAATGAAAACACAAGAAACACAACCGAAGCCTGTTTCATTCTGTCTTTAAAGTTTCCTTCTCAGGTACGAGTCAGAGACGACAGTGATGCAATGACCTACAGCACCGCGAAGTCTTATTCTTCTGCTGGAGCCTCCAGCGACGTGTACGCCGCCGTCAACAAGCCAAAAGCAAACAGGGACCACAGCAGAGTCTTTACCCGTCCTCACCTTTCAACTTAATCCACAACACATAGATCTCTCTGTAAAACCAGGAGAATCCTCAACGTATTATCTGAATGAGTCATTTCCTGGATGCAATGCACTGTTGTGAAAAGCTTTTTGTCCAGAAGGTGGCGTTAAAGAGTAAAACAACTGTTTACAAAAGATTTTAAAGGTGAATTAAGAGGCCAACACTTATTTTGTCTGTAAAGATAAAGAGGAGTAATGGTGTGTGTTGTGATCAGAGCTTGTAAAAAGAAATAAATAAATGTGTAAATAAAAACAGAAACAGAAATACAGAAAAAGTCGTTGTGTATTTTTTTTTCATTCATGTTTGTGTTCAATTATCTAATCATGACTTTAATTATTTGTATTTTTGTTTATTCATACATTTTATGTCCACCATGCTTCAGTGTTTCATTAAGAGAAAGTAAAAATGTCAACTTTCAGCTTATTAATGTGGTTTTATGAAGTTTCATTTGTTCTCAGACTTTGTTCTTGAGACAGAACGTGAGAAACAACCAAGCGATCCAATGTCGACAGCATCTGTATAAAAGACTCGGATGAGAAGTCAGTGTGGGGGTGTGGTTATGAAGGGGAAGTTCTGATTCGCTTAAAAGGAAAATGGTTTGAATATTTGACAAATAAGGATTGAGAACGAGAGAAGGAAAACAAAAAAGAGAAGAACGATGGCTGAATTCAAGTGGATGAAAAAGTCTTCAGATTGAAGGCAAAGACACTCAACACAAAAGAAACAGTTCACAACTCTACAAGTACTGGTTTTCTGACTGTATTTTAACTATGAGTTTAACGCTGATTTAAATGAACTCTATATTTGTTTGTTTGAGATTTTGCAAAGTCAGCGACAGACACACAAACTTCATATCTGTGTATGTGACAGTGAAGCTACAAGCTACAAACGCTGCAAGTAAAACTGGAGCCAAGTGCCTGAAACCTTTAGTCTCTCAAATGACCAGCACAAGGCGAAACACAAGTTTTGCTTCAGTGGTTCACGTGAACTTGTTAGTTTGCAGGATCACCACAAAACAAAGCGGAAGGATGCGGTATGGGTCAGCATTTTATTTAAAGATTCCGATCTTGTAATCTTGCAGGTTTCCACTCAGTTACCACTTTATTCTTGCAACACTACAACGTTTTTCTCACAGTATTACGACTTTGTTTTTTTTAAAATCTCAAATGTTTTTTCAACATGGCCTTAATACTGTGTCGCTGATGTCTCAGAGAATAATTCATTGATCTTAATGAAAAAAGCAAACCTGATATTTATGAGTAATTTGTCATTTCTTTCTTAACAGCAACAACCAGACACAACCCGTCAGCCGCTGTCAGAGTCGGAGAAGATGTCCCTAATAAACAAAAGGACTCATTGTGAAGTGCAGTTTCCTTCTTTCTCATGTTTGAGTTAAAGATGGTGGTGAAGTGACCCACAGCAGTGTGAAGTTTTCTTCTTCTGCGGGAGCCTCCAGTGACGTCCACGCCACCGTCAACAAGCCAAAACCAAAGAGAGACCACAGCACCTGAGAGACATTTCCCTGCTTTGCATCTGAACTCATCCCAGAAGAATAAAGCCAGAGTACACAGACGGTTTTATCTGCAGTTATTTATTGATACATGAACGAACATTTCCTTGAATCTCTGCTGCATCTGTTTTCTTTTAACGTTTCATTTCCATGCTCATGTTCAGGAGTTCATGTAAAAGCCTTTGTGTCCAGAGGGGGGTGCTGTGAGGGAACTAGTTGWGCAGCGTGAGGAACAGGAACCTCACGTCCATGTCACTGTTTCTCCTCAGATGAATTCATGTGATAAATGATATATTTTCTTGTGTAAAGTTCATTATTTACTTTATAACCGACCAAAGATCAGATGCTTGTTGTTGAGTTTTATGGGGATTTTGTTGTTTCTTTGTTTGTGTGTTGACAACAACAGTTTTCATTAGAAAGCCTGGACACATTTCTGTCTTTCTCTCTCTGTGGTTTTGCAGCTTCTTGTTTCTACACTGAAATGACCTGTGATGCTCGTCACTCTGAAWGATGGGTAMATTTATCTTCACACACAGTGACGTGACTGTTAAAGATGGGACCATATATGACAATGACTCTGAGACAAGACGGACGGTTACTTCTTCATTTACTTTATTGCATCACCAGCAAACTGAGGTAAATCCACAGGAAGGAAGAAGTGCTACACAGGAAGTAAACGCCACATTTCACTTTTTGCTGAGAAACGAAGCAGAGAAGAGAAAAGATAAAGAGGAACAATGGATGAAATCAAATGGATTAAAATGTCTTTACTTCTGCTGCTGATTCCGTTTACAGGTAAGAATAAATCCACTTCTAAGATGTTCTCAGTTTGAATAATCAGAATGAATCCAGATAGTTTGGTGTTTGTTTTTAACACAGTTCAGTGAAGAGGTTCACTCATGTTGTGGCAGACTTTCATCAGRGTGACAGACCAGAAGTAAAGGAAGGACCAGACGTAGAAAGTCCTCAGATCATCTCACACCTTGTTTAACGAGAAACTTTTGGGATTTTCTGATTTAAAGCCACAATAAATCTTGGTCTTGATGAAGAAACTGGTGATTGTCTCTTTTTATGACTTGGTTTGTGTTAGAACTGGGTTTGTTTGTTCTTTCATTGATTTACCTCCACTCAGGACGTTATATGTTCGTTGACTTTGTCTGTTAATTCGCGGGAAACACAAAAA